GAACAACACAGGTAAAATAGGTGAGAGAACAACACAGGTAAAACAAGTGTTAGAACAACACAGGTAATACAGGTAAAACATGTGTTAGAATAACACAGGTAAAATAGGTGAGAGAACAACACAGGTAAAACAGGTGGCAGAACAACACAGGTAAAACAGGTGGCAGAACAACACAGGTAAAACAGGTGGCAGAAGTACACAGGTTAAACAGGTGTGAGAACAACACAGGTAAAACAGGTAGGAGAACAACACAGGTAAAACAGGTGTGAGAACAACACAGGTAAAACAGGTGAGAGAACAACACAGGTAAAACAGGTGGAAGAACAACACAGGTAAAACAGGTAGGAGAACACCACGGGTAAAACAGGCGGGAAAACAAAACAGGTAAACAGGTGGGAGAACAACACAGGTAAAACAGGTGGGAGAACAACACAGGTAAAACAGGTGGCAGAACAACACAGGTAAAACAGGTGGCAGAACAACACAGGTAAAACAGGTGGCAGAACAACACATGTAAAACAGGTGGCAGAACTACACAGGTTAAACAGGTGTGAGAACAGCACAGGTAAAACAGGTTTGAGAACAACACAGGTAAAGCAGGTGTGAGAACTACACAGGTAAAACAGGTTTGAGAACAATACAGGTAAAACAGGTGAGAGAACAACACAGGTAAAACAGGTGAGAGAACAACACAGGTAAAACAGGTGAGAGAACAACACAGGTAAAACAAGTGTTAGATCAACACAGGTAAACAGGTGAGAGAACAACACAGGTAAAACAGATGTGAGAACAACACAGGTAAACAAGTGTTAGAACAACACAGGTAAAACAGGTGAGAGAACAACACAGGTAAAACAGGTTTGAGAACAATACAGGTAAACAGGTGGGTATACTTCACCGTGACAATCAACAGTGGGATCAGAACACCAATTGTTTGTGCTCAAACTCCGACGAGGAAGACTACTGTTTTTTCAATTTTCAATTTTTACATTTACTTAAACGTGGTGGTCAATGATGTTCAAAATATAAAATGAATATTCATACATACAAAAATAAATAATCAAATGCTTCTAGTCTTCTTTATTTTTGTCAATGCTATGTTCCACCTGTGCTGAAAAATAATATCTTAATATAACCTTACTTGTTGCCTTGTCAAAAAATCGATGTAGATATTGAATTATACTCCTTCTTCACATAGAATTATTATTTGTGCGGGTTACAGTTTTCTTACTTATTGAATAGCAGTTCCTGTACCACAAAAGTAAAACTGAGAACTATATATGTATTTATTTGTTTGGTATAGTAAACAGTTACACCTTAATGTTAAATAAACAAATATTGTTTGTCTGACATCATCAACAAATATATAGACCAATAAATGAAACTTCTTTTTTTTTGTTCTTCTGCATTAGTCATTTATTTTCCTTTCTGAGCAATGTCTAGTGAGATCTATCGACCACAATAGATAATATTGATTTCTAGGTTCCAAACACGTAATGAAACATCTGTGATACTACTTGAATAATGAGACTTTGTATACCCCACATTGGGACCAACTCACGAATTGTTTGTCATCAAACTAGGATTGCTGAACTAAGACATGATGGCCAATGTTTTGATTGGCTGTAATAAATCATAATATAATATAAAATATATTATAATGCAATAATAATAATATAATATAATGTGATATAATATAATATATAATATGTGATATAATATAATATAATATAATATAATATAATATGCTTGATTATCTTGTCATCTATTTCTACGTATTTCCTGTCTCTGGTGAAGTGATAGCGTCTATCCCAATGGCGGTAACTGAACTTACAGAAACACTTTGTACACAATGGCAAGGGGAACCGATATATATATATATATCTTTATGGCTGCACTCTTGTACGTACACAAAAACAGGAAAGTCAATGTAATCGATTTGAGTGGTATATGAATTTATCAACAAAGACGACAGATTTTCGTATATACTTGTCAAATTTATACAATTTTAAGTATAGACCTATTACCCAGAACTATGTCTTCAAATTTTTCTGTACACATAAGCAACTCCGCCGTTTGTAACTGCAAGGAAAACGGACGTCTCTCATAAAACACACGAGTGACGCTGTGTTGAGAGCAAGGTAAATCTTAAAAGTCCCACTGTTCGAACATAGGAATAGGAAATTATTGTCTGTCCGGATATATGACTGGTATATTTTAAAAGTCCTACTGTCCTGACATAGGAACGGTATATTTAAAAAGTCCTACTGTCCTGTCATAGGAACGGTAAATGACAAATGTCCTACTGCCCGAACATGGGAACAAAAGGACTTTGACAGCTAATTCTAAAAAAATTCAAACTTAACAAAACATCGGTTTGTTTATCAGTATAGACAACAACTTTCAAGGGTAGTTCGAACAGTTACTCAAACACAGCCGTCTCTCATGTCTAGTCTGGTACAATTAGACACTGAGTGTTTGCGGAAAAAGTCTGACGTCATACTCTGTGTCTAATGCGTTACACTATCTTATAAACCCAATATACAATATACATGTACATTGAAATTTGAAAAAAAAAAAATTCTGTTATATCTTATCGTTTGTGAAACAAAAAACAAAACCATTTCGTCTCTTTGTGCTCGTTTATTTACTTGTTGACAGATATATTGGCGGGAAGTCTTGATATCTGATGACAACTTTCAAAAGACTATCAAAACCAAACGATAATATATTCATTTCTGACCTGCGTGAATACTCCAGCTGCTAAATAAATACAGTTTTAAGCGAGCAAATTAAAAAATATGGTCAACAAATATAAGGATTAAATTGTATTTTATGTGGTTTTATCAAAGAATTAAGTTCGGTATACATCGATCAATATTAAGAATGGGCAATGTTATTTCTGTCAACATTATGTACTACCTGTGTTTGTTCATTAGATTTTAGTAGAGCTCGAGAACTGCACTCATCAAAAACATCAAGGAAATACCAGCACGTCAACAAGAACATAATCCAAACTCAAGTTCCATAAAACTAGGGCAAAATATCAACAAAGAAAATATTTACAGAAAAAGTACAAGGAGAATAAGACCAGATGTTTCTGAAGAGTAAGCGTCTTCTGCTTCATCGGTGACATCGTTAGTTCATTAATACTGATGTGCTGTTGTCTCAAGTAGACTGACATTAATTATCTAGATATTTAGACGGTGTTTCTTGTCTAAACGTATTAGGAAAAAATTGTAAATATTTCTATGACTATACAACAATAAATTAAGAAAATAACAACTTGGCAACATAATGATAATTCTATAAAACTAGGGCAAAATATGAACAAAAGGTATCATATCTGTCATTATAAGTCACTTGAAGACGTATGAATGATAACTTGTGTAATACAGATTTATGTTGATTACAAAACTGTTAATGATAATCATTATTATTACATTCTTGACGGCCCGTCAACACATTAAATGTCGCGATGGCAATCAAACGGTAAAACACACAGCGATCCAAAAGGAAAAAAAACATTAAACAAACCAAAAAGTTAAAGACAAATGTTAAAAATCTTAAATGGGTGTGTTAACACAAAAGATTAAAATGCTATGTCATAGTCTATTATATAAATCAACATCTTTCAGGTAATGTAGAATTTTACAAATCTCAACAGTTTAAAAAAGGGAGTTTAGACATGTAATGTTATGATAAAAACATTCTCGAGTAGACAGAAGGTCATTGCAGTCCAATAACAAATGTTTAACGGTGGATGGCCAAAAACTGTTAAAGCTCGAAGTATATTCTATATAGATAAAATTGCACTATGATTAGTACACATAAAACAGCAGCGCGTCGCCAGAACACTTACTTCCGGCGGCGAGACGATAAGCGGACGCGGGAGGAGTAGCGGAGACGAAACACCTGTTGACCGAACGACCAAACATCTCTGGCACACAGAGAGACGTTTATAACTAAACGTGTACTGAAGCCTATACATTAGAATGCTGAAAAATCAATAACCAAGTAATCATTCATTATCTTGATTTATGAAGGGAATTGTTCCATATTTGGAGTTCCAACTCACCCAATTGGATATTACACACTTATCGGAATACGTGGAACCAGACGGTTACTAGATTCATTATGTAAAATCCGTAATTGGATTCGCCGATTTATTTTTTGTTCAGACGCAAATGAAGCTAAAGTTGGATAATCTGGTTTTACATCAGATAATTTCCGTGTACATTTCTGGTTTATTCTCATTTTCTTACAAGAATGCAGTACAAAATGGTCGAAACAAAGAACAACATTTTCCAAATGGAGTCGTCCTGTTGTCGAGCGTAAAGTTCAACCATCTGACGTCAGAGAACGCGGTAATAGGTCAGTACTTTTCAGCAAGCGATAATATTTCAATGCTTTTTTAAACACCACTAATTCTATATTTGGATAGATATTTCACTCGTATGAAAGAATATCTTCTGTCATACACGTGAAACATACGATATTAAATACCCTATAACTTCACGGGCGCTGTGGTGTCAATTATCTTTTCTATCAATAAAATCGATTTTATGAAACCGTTCAGTATCACGGAGTTACATACATATTAGAAGCATTGCAGTTGTGATTTTAATTAGTCATTCGATAAAAGTATAAGCAAAATTGATATAAATAAACTTTAAAAAGTCGCAAAATTATCTTATCAATTGATAAGGCACAGAAAAGTCATATATAAACAATTATTTCTGTTTTAACAAACAAATGTTCCTTTTATCTGTACTAAAAACCTTACACATATTTACATAGCATCGATAAGCTTAATTATAAACGCAGTCAACATACAATGACAAAAAATATTTTTGAGTATCAAACACCTCATTGTTTCATTCACAAAATCTTCTTTATTAAATGTCGGAGTTTTTCTGTGAACAAGTTTTTCTTCTTTTCCTATTTTTCCTCCAATGAAAAACATATTTTATCCAAGGTCAAACATATTTCATCCAAGGTCAAACATTTGTTTTTATTTCAGCGTATGCAACATTCTCCGATTTTGATAATTTCGGTTTGGGGCTGATGACAGGTGGGCGTAGCTTCACACGTGATTCCGGACGTGACGTTCTGTCCTGGACATCCACCTCTGCGTACACTAAACCTTCCGGATTTGTATACCTAGACGGTTGACAACGATCCGTCACGTCGGTCTTCGGTTGTTCCTGGGACTTTCTGACGACAGCATAAACATCACCTTTCGGGGATTCCTCTAGTTCTAAGTTTTGCGTTTCATCAGGATCTACAGTTGAATGTTTCACTGGCTTTTGCACTTGAGCGTACAAGTCCCCTGTCCGCGTGACTATGTGATTTTCTTGCGGATCTCGAGGTCCGGCAGACTCATAGAGTAAGTTGTGTGTTATTGTATCCTTATCTTCGTTTACATATCGCTTCATTGTTCCAGTGTTGGCGTATGGCTGCATGTCATCAGAAGGACCCCCATTTCTACTACCACTGGACCCGTTTTCTGAGACAATTGGCTGTTTATTTTCTGGTCTCCTTTTCCTATTGAAAAAAAATGCATGTGTTAATAATCAATTATTCATGGATTTTTTCATGACCAATTAAACGACAGGCAGCAAGGTAAAAAGATCAGAAAATGAGGAAAACGTGCAAAGATATGGTACAGAGTCTTCGGAAGAGAATGATTTTTGTTTTTCCTTCGTCAAGGATTGTATGAAGTATACCGAGGTAAAACACATTTCAGTAGAGCTTAGTCGTGAATGAAACTGCCAGAGATTGCTTCTAGGACTCATCAGTGATGCTAGGGGCCTTAAGAGTATCACATCTGTCTCATTCGATCACAGATTTGTATTGTGACAGTCAACAAGTAGTTAGATACATCCATGCAGTCTATATCTACCTGATAATGATGACACTGACGATGATTATGACGATGATCAGTAGTGCTGCTCCGCCACCGGCTGCTCCAGCAATGATCCCAACTAGAGAGCAATGAAATAACATATACAGATCAACACAATGTGTTATAGATATTATGGTGTGTGATTACTTGAGTACATGTGATTATTGGGATGTAGAACACCAGGAAAATGTATGCTCTCTAAATCAGTTTAAGTATTCATGGGGGGTGAAATGGAATAGCCATTTTTTTTGTTTGTCTTTCGTTGGTCGAAGGTCATATAAGTAATAAGGAACAAAGCAACGAAAAGCTTTCTACAGTGAACCCTGACGATTATATAGATAGAACACAGCGATGTAAATGTTGGGTATTGAATGTTTCCATTAAGGAAAGGTGGATAACAAGATATGTTTATGAAACACTTGTCTCCAGTTGTAACTAAATTCTGAAGTGGGAAACTAAAATGTACTGTGGAAGGTATGTGCTAATAACATTGTCTTTATTGTGGTAGTGATTTTTTGGTTACTTTCAAATGTAGGTCATAGGTCGCGGTCAAGGTCACATAGTCAAAAAGGTATTGTTGCAAGGAACACATATGCCAAATATGAATGCCCTACCTTTTATGCTGCGCTAGTAATGTTGACAACAGACATACAGACAGCATAAAAACAAAATTCTCCCGGTCTTCTGATCCGGGAGCATATAGAGACGTCACACTCTTTCCTCCTAGGACCTGCCAGTCGTTAATTTGGCAAAACCGGAGGATGGAAATCTCTCATTTGTTATCAGAGATCTATACTGAGGTCTGTATCTGGGTCTTTGTAATAGGTATATCCGGACACGATCTATATTCAGGTCTGTATCTGGGTCATTGTAATAGGTATCTCCGGACACGATCTATACTGAGGTCTCTATCTTGGTCACTGTAATAGGTATCTCCGGACGCGATCTATACTGAGGTCTGTATCTGGGTCATTGTAATAGGTATATCTCCGGACACGATCTATACTGAGGTCTGTATCTGGGTCTTTGTAATAGGTATATCCGGACACGGTCTATATTCAGGTCTGTATCTGGGTCATTGTAATAGGTATCTCCGGACGCGATCTATACTGAGGTCTGTATCTGGGTCATTGTAGTAGGTATCTCCGGACACGATCTATTTGAGGTCTGTATCTGGATCATTGTAATAGGTATATCTCCGGACACGATCTATACTGATGTCTGTATCTGGGTCATTGGAATAGGTATATCTCCGGACACGATCTATACTGAGGTCTGTATCTGGGTCATTGTAATAGGTATATCTCCGGACACATCTATACTGAGGTCTGTATCTGGGTCATTGTAATAGGTATATCTCCGGACACGATCTATACTGAGGTCTGTATCTGGGTCATTGTAATAGGTATATCCGGACACGATCTACACTGAGGTCTCTATCTGGGTCATTGTAATAGGTATCTCCGGACACGATCTATACTGGGGTCTGTATCTGGGTCATTGTAATATGTATATCTCCGGACACGATCTATACTGAGGTCTGTATCTGGGTCATTGTAATAGGTATATCTCCGGACACGATCTATACTGAGGTCTGTATCTGGGTCATTGTAATAGGTATATCCGGACACGATCTATACTGAGGTCTGTATCTGGGTCATTGTAATAGGTATATCCGGACACGATCTATACTGAGGTCTGTATCTGGGTCATTGTAATAGGTATCTCCGGACACGATTGAAACGTTAAGCTATCTATACTTACACAGTGTAAAAATATGATTAACATGAATGCGAACAAACAATCGCTGTTGTCGTGCACAGCTCTAAACCATATAAAGGGACTTATGGACCGACATTGTATATTCTTTATCATAGTTCAGAGGGTTGTAAGATGTCACAAGTGTATATTATAAGCGGATACTATGATTTACATCATGTAGTCATAACGATTTTTTTTCCCCTTTGTCTTTTTTTTTCGTGAACATTACTGAATTTTTCATTCAGTTCTGCACTTTGATTTAGACTTAAAACTAGAAATCGTTATAAAGTTTTATGTTTGAATAACTAATTTCCATGAATCATTCTCAAATACTGAAGAATGAGCATTAAGCAAAAACGAAAAAGTCGAGGTTTGTTTTAATTAGAGGAACATCCAGATTTTTAATCTGTCTAGTCTAATGGTAGATTATGACAACTGAGGAGATATATAACTACAGCTATCTGCCGAATCGTGAGGAATATTCCCACGGGACTCGATTGAAACAAGACGACACTGAACTGAACCATCGCGTGAAAGTCCGACCACACGAGGAAAATTTATGTAAACTCGTAAACATTCTTACTATTAGAATCTTTATCCTCATTTCCTCCTGTTTGTAGCCCCACAACTGTTGTCTCGTCAGTAGCGCCTCGTGATGAACTAACAGTTGGTGAAGCTGTTCCAACACTGGAAGATGTCGATGGTGACGTTGTTGTACTTGTTGTTGGTGATGGCGTTGTCGTCGTCGTCGTCGTTGTTGTTGTCGTTGTTGTTGTTGTTGTTGTTGATGATGATGATGATGATGATGATGTTGATGACGGTGATGGTGATGTTGGTGGTGGTTTGCTTGTTGACATTTCGTTCTGTTTGTAACACGTGAAATGCATATCAAGAGGATCTGCATTATCTGCAGTATCTGTAGAAGAGAAAGTCAAAATAAGTCGAGATTTTATCAACATAACCTTAGCCAAAGGATAATGTGCTACAATGTTACTATTGTTTTGAATTTCATTACATTGATTGATCTAGTAAAGTCACCATGACATTGTGTCAAGTACTTACCTGATTTTATATAGATACAGTGCCCAGACTTCCAATGTGTACTGTTGTCCGCCCTTGATAGCGTCAGATTCAACATGTCCGTCGTCCCAAAGTTGTTTAAAGCAGTAGCAGGGATTGGGAAACAACCAAACCGAGAAAATCCACTAGATATAGTAGATGTAATATGAAGACTACTGCCACAATAAGACAAAGGTTCTACTCCCGGATACTCCTGTACTGTTATTGTTGTTGTTGATGTAGATGGTTGTGATTTTGTATCCAGTGTAACAGTACAGGTACAGCTGTATCTATCCGGGTTTCCTGTATCCCAGGTGTCTATCACCATACGTGTATTAGTTAATGATCCACCGCCACACATCCTCATTACTATAATTACAAAGTTAAGAGTGTGAATTATGTTCTGACCATAAGGAATATGTACTCGTGGAAACTAGATAATCATAATTAATACCAAAAACAAAATGTTTCCTTGTTATAAATTCAATTATAAATATCAACGTAGGTGCCGATGAAAACCGAGAGAAAGATCGAAAACGGGCGTGAATATTGAATATCAAACATTACAGGATCATTCATTTAGGTAATAATATACTGGAACGAGATCCGAAATATAATTCTTATTCAAAATAATATATTATCACGTCCATGGATCTAAGATGTATTAAAATGAATTCCAGTGGGATTGTAATAGAAGTGGTTTGAGAAATGCATATATACGAAACATTGTTATGCCGTTGATAACAAGTGGGACGAAAGGTTTGGGGGGAGATGTACTCAACTGAACCCCCCGCATGGTGATATGTGGAAATTTACTACTGACTGACCAAGTTTGAATTTGTTCGTTGATGGCTAAGTCATTGACATCATTTTCTTGAATATATTTTTTCTAAACCCCCTCCCCCCCCTGGAATTCTATGATTTTGTTTCTACTTCCGGAATATTCTCCACCATTACAGCCAGGACTCATTTATTTGGTATCGATTCGGTAGAGCTACGTGTTTGATTTACATCGATAGACAATTCTCTATCTGGTCTAAGGTAAACATCCGATCCCCTCATGTTTTACCTGCGATTTATGTAAAATCACGTTTTAATGGCAACATACCGTGATTGAAGTTATCCGTATCAGTCTGATCAGTACATGCCGTTGTGTTGACACCTGCAATATATACTCCAGATAAACACATGTATCAGACATAAGGCAGCATATAGAAAATAAATCATTGAAATCAACGAAAAACAACACAAAAAAAAACAAAAACAAAAACAATATGAAAGCTACTCCATTCATCATAGAACTTCACGTAGACCCACTTAAACTCTACAACTGGATTAAAACTTTAATTAAACAACAGACTCGGAAAATGATTGTGGCACTCTATACATATAATAGGGTATATTTCTATTTGTGTATATTTTGTTTGGTAGCGGACGCTGAACCTGTCATATAACTGATGATGAGCGATACTATCATTTCTGTTTATAAGTTGTTCTTTGTGAACCAATTAACTGTAATATCGTTATTATCTAGGCTACTCCCACTTTATACCTGTTGATGGCCCTAATGACCTTTTATGTGTTGACGGGCCGTTAAGAATGTAATGATAATAATATATTCCCACTTTATACCAGTTTATGACCCTAATGACCTTGATGTGTTGATGACCCTAATGACCTTTTATGTGTTGATGACCCTAATGACCTTTTATGTGTTGATGACCCTAATGACCTTTTATGTGTTGATGACCCTAATGACCTTTTATGTGTTGACGGGCCGTTGAGAATGTAATGATAATAATATACTACCACTCAATACCTGTTGATGACCCTAATGACCTTTTATGTGTTGATGACCCTAATGACCTTTTATGTGTTGATGACCCTAATGACCTTTTATGTGTTGATGACCCTAATGACCTTTATGTGTTGATGACCCTAATGACCTTTTATGTGTTGATGACCCTGATGACCTTTTATGTGTTGATGACCCTAATGACCTTTTATGTGTTGATGACCTTAATGACATTTTATGTGTTGATGACCCTAATGACATTTTATGTGTTAATGACCCTAATGACCTTTTATGTGTTAATGACCCTAATGACCTTCAATGTATTGATGACCCTAATGACCTTTTATGTGTTGACGGGCCGTTAAGAATGTAATGATAATAATATACTACCACTTAATACCTGTTGGTGACCCTAATGACCTTTTATGTGTTGATGACCCTAATGACCTTTTGTGTTGATGACTCTAATGACCTTTTATGTGTTGATGACCCTAATGACCTTTATGTGTTGATGACCCTAATGACCTTTTATGTGTTGATGACCCTGATGACCTTTTATGTGTTAATGACCCTTATGACCTTTAATGTGTTGATGACCCTAATGACATTTTAGGTGTTGATGACCCTAATGACATTTTATGTGTTAATGACCCTAATGACCTTTTATGTGTTAATGACCCTAATGACCTTCAATGTATTGATGACCCTAATGACCTTTTATGTGTTGACGGGCCGTTAAGAATGTAATGATAATAATATACTACCACTTAATACCTGTTGGTGACCCTAATGACCTTTTATGTGTTGATGACCCTAATGACCTTTTATGTGTTAATGACCCTAATGACCTTTTATGTGTTGATGACCCTAATGACCTTTATGTGTTGACGGGCCGTTAAGAATAGAGTAATAATAATATACTCCTTCTTTAGGGTTAAATCATCGGACAACGCCAGCGTTATAAACAAATAGACATTTGAATGTTTTCTTACTTCTATCTTATTCACCTATTCAGTGAAATATATCGTTAATCATATTCCCCATGTGCCGCGTTTTGGTTGATGAAAATCTTAATACAAAAGTACCTGTATTGTTATAGAACGTTTCCTTTACAAAAAGAACAGCTTATATCAAATAGAGAACATTGTCTCCTTAATTTGAACTAACACGTTATCTCTATGTTACCGCCGCGATTTGTATGTGACCACTAAGTTTGAATCATAGACCCGTAAACAACAGTGTTTGTATATTGACAACAACATTACCCTGACCTTTACTTCCGTATTGGTATTACCTTGGACACAGACGGACAGGAACAGTAACGCTTTGATACAGCCCAGTAATAAGTATGTGTGTGTCCCGGCTTCCATTATTCCATCAACAGGAAGTACCACTTAGTAGAGTTACTTCAGATTAGTAAGGAACATCTTCTGACGCTATAACACCGTGCTATAGTACTGACCAGGAAGTAAAGTCACGCTGCACGGTACTATATATAGCACGGTAGTTGTATTGAAGTAAAACCGGTTGTGCGGCTTCCGATTTATCAAACCGGTGAATGGATGAATTTAAATATTGTTAAGGTTCGTATTATGAGAGAATACATGCATCGTCTACTGGGCACTTAATGACAAACTCGTTAGCAATGTCACACAACATCCCTCATCCTCCGGAAAATTGATGAAAACTATTATAATCTCTGTAACTTCTGGTATACTTCAAACTTTTGTGTAACAAAGGAAATAAAAGAATGTTGTTGCTTTAACCAACGGCAAATATACAGGTGCTTTTGTTCTGCTGTGAATGTGTGATCAAAAGAGATTCTGGTATTCAATAGAGTAACAGCCCTCTATTATGTTTTAGTGACTACCCTATGTAGTGATAACATCCTTGTATTACACATGTATCCACACCTAATCCCCGGTATCCCGTCAATTTGTATGTTGTGTATGGACAGTAATTACGAGTCAATCTGTATGCTGTGTATAGACAGCTATTATGAGTCACTCTGTATACTGTGTATGGACAGTAGTTTTGAGACACTCTGTATGTTGTGTATGGACAGTAATTATGAATCACTCTGTATACTGTGTAAGGACAGTAATTATGAATCACTCTGTATACTGTGTAAGGACAGTAATTATGAATCACTCTGTATACTGTGTAAGGACAGTAATTATGAATCACTCTGTATACTGTGTAAGGACAGTAATTATGAGTCAATCTGTATGTTGTGTATGGACAGTAATTATGAATCACTCTGTATACTGTGTAAGGACAGTAATTATGAGTCAATCTGTATGTTGTGTATGGACAGTAATTATGAATCACTCTGTATACTGTGTAAGGACAGTAATTATGAATCACCCTGTATACTGTGTAAGGACAGTAATTATGAGTCAATCTGTATGTTGTGTATGGACAGTAATTATGAATCACTCTGTATACTGTGTAAGGACAGTAATTATGAGTCAATCTGTATGTTGTGTATGGACAGCATTTATGAATCATTCTGTATACTGTGTAAGGACAGTAATTATGAATCACTCTGTATACTGTGTATGGACAGTAATTATGATTCACTCTGTATACTGTGTAAGGACAGTAATTATGAGTCAATCTGTATGTTGTGTATGGACAGTAATTATGAATCACTCTGTATACTGTGTAAAGACAGCTATTATGAATCACTCTGTATACTGTGTATGGACAGTAATTATGAATCACTCTGTATACTGTGTAAAGACAGCTATTATGAATCACTCTGTATACTGTGTAAGGACAGTAATTATGAGTCAATCTGTATGTTGTGTATGGACAGTAATTATGAGTCAATCTGTATACTGTGTAAGGACAGTAATTATGAGTCAATCTGTATGTTGTGTATGGACGGTAATTATGAGTCACTCTGTATACTGTGTAAGGACAGTAATTATGATTCACTCTGTATACTGTGTAAAGACAGCTATTATGAATCACTCTGTATAATGTGTATGGACAGCTATTATGAATCACTCTGTATACTGTGTAAGGACAGTAATTATGAGTCAATCTGTATGTTGTGTATGGACAGTAATTATGAGTCACTCTGTATACTGTGTAAGGACAGTAATTATGAGTCAATCTGTATGTTGTGTATGGACAGTAATTATGAGTCAATCTGTATACTGTGTAAGGACAGTAATTATGATTCACTCTGTATACTGTGTAAGGACAGTAATTATGAATCAATCTGTATGTTGTGTATGGACAGTAATTATGAGTCACTCTGTATACTGTGTAAGGACAGTAATTATGATTCAATCTGTATGTTGTGTATGGACAGTAATTATGAGTCACTCTGTATACTGTGTAAGGACAGTAATTATGAGTCACTCTGTATACTGTGTAAGGACAGTAATTATGAATCACTCTGTATACTGTGTAAGGACAGTAATTATGAATCATTCTGTATACTGTGTATGGACAGCTATTATGAATCACTCTGTATGTTGTGTATGGACAGTAATTATGATTCACTCTGTATACTGTGTAAGGACAGTAATTATGAGTCAATCTGTATGTTGTGTATGGACAGTAATTATGATTCACTCTGTATACTGTGTAAGGACAGTAATTATGAGTCAATATGTATGTTGTGTATGGACGGTAATTATGATTCACTCTGTATAATGTGTATGGACAGTAATTATGAGTCACTCTGTATGTTGTGTATGGACAGTAATTATAAGTCACTCTGTATACTGTGTAAGGACAGTAATTATGAGTCAATCTGTATAATGTGTATGGACAGTAATTATGAGTGTTGGTATTCTCTCGATCTGTTTTTTGTTACACATGTATGTAGTTCTTTTTATATTTACCCAAATTTCTTTTGTATCACCTTATCATTTAATTATATTGTGCTTAATGTTTGGAAATCATGTAATATTTGAAAATTAAAAAAACTATTGAATGATAAAGCCGATGATCTCCCTATCTACATTTGGGTAGGTTTTTCCATCAATATATCGCCGCCAATATGTGGTCACGGACTGGGTATACCCTTATTATCACTGGCTGTGCTGTATTATAAGCTTGTACTACAGAATTTTCTGCTGTTTCTGTTTGTAAATCATTTGTTGATATAACGATGACATAACAGAGAGAAAGGTATTTTATCTGTTTAATTATGCGAATAAATAAACAACTCAGCGTAGTAAACATGATCTTATAAACAAAAACAAAAACGGAAGCATTAGCTTTGGCAAGAAGCTTTGCATTTATGATAATACAGGCTGATACATGTTTCTGTCCTTACAAAATATTATGTTTCTTACTCTTTGTATTTTGATATGTATTGGATTAAATCAAATGTTACACAAAATACAACACAACCTCATGTTATACCACAAAATACAACACATTCTCAAGTTATACCACAAATATACCACAAAATAAAACACAACCAAACGTGATACCACAAACATACCACAAAATACAATACAACCAAACGTTATACCACAAATACATCACAAAATACAATACAACCTAAATTATACCACAAATACACCACAAAATACAACACAACCTAAAGTTATACCACAAATACACCACAAAATACAACACAACCTCAAGTTATACCACAAATATACCACAAAATACAACACAACCTAAAGTTATACTACAAATACACCACAAAATAAAACACAACCTAAAATTATACCACAAATATACCACAAAATACAACACAACCTAAAGTTATACTACAAATATACCACTAAATACAACACAACCTAAAGTTTTACCACAAATATACCACAAAATACAACACAACCTAAAGTTATACCACAAATACACCACAAAATACAACACAACCTAAAGTTACACTACAAATACACCACAAAATACAATACAACCTAAAGTTATACCACAAATACACCACAAAATACAACACAACCTCAAGTTATACCACAAATACACCACAAAATACAACACAACCTAAAGTTATACCACAAATACACCACAAAATAAAACACAACCTAAAGTTATACCACAAATACACCACAAAATACAACACAACCTAAAGTTATACCACAAATACACCACAAAATACAACACAACCTAAAGTTATACTACAAATACACCACAAAATACAACACAACCTCAAGTTATACCACAAATATACCACAAAATACAACACAGCCTCACGTTATACCACAAATACACCACAGCCTAAAGTTATACCACAAATACACCACAAAATACAACACAACCTTAAGTTATACCCCAAAATACAACACAACCTCAAGTTATACCACAAATTACAACACAACCTCAAGTTATACCACAAATACACCACAAAATACAACACAACCTCAAGTTATACAACAAATATACCACAAAATAAAACACAACCAAACGTTACACCACAAATACACCACAAAATACAACACATCCTCAAGTTATACCACAAATACACCACAAAATACAACACAGCGTAAAGTTATACCACAAATACACCACAAAATACAGCACAACCTCAAGTTATACCACAAATACACCACAAAATACAACACAACCTGAAGTTATACCACAAATACACCACAAAATACAACACAGCGTAAAGTTATACCACAAATACACCACAAAATAAAACACAACTAAAGGTTATACCACAAATATACCACAAAATAAAACACAACCAAACGTGATACCACAAACATACCACAAAATACAATACAACCAAACGTTATACCACAAATACATCACAAAATACATTACAACCTAAATTATACCACAAATACACCACAAAATACAACACAACCTAAAGTTATACCACAAATACACCACAAAATACAACACAACCTCAAGTTATACCACAAATATACCACAAAATACAACACAACCTAAAGTTATACTACAAATACACCACAAAATACAACACAACCTAAAGTTATACCACAAATATACCACAAAATACAACACAACCTAAAGTTATACCACAAATATACCACAAAATACAACACAACCTAAAGTTATACCACAAATATACCACAAAATACAACACAGCCTCACGTTATACTACAAATACACCACAAAATACAACACAACCTAAAGTTATACTACAAATACACCACAAAATACAATACAACCTAAAATTATACCACAAATACACCACAAAATACAACACAACCTAAAGTTATACCACAAATACACCACAAAATACAACACAACCTCAAGTTATACTACAAATACACCACAAAATACAACACAACCTAAAGTTATACTACAAATATACCACAAAATACAACACAACCTCAAGTTATACCACAAATATACCACAAAATACAACACAGCCTCACGTTATACCACAAATACATCACAGCCTAAAGTTATACCACAAATACACCACAAAATACAACACAACCTTAAGTTATACCCCAAAATACAACACAACCTCAAGTTATACCACAAATATACCACAAAATACAACACAACCTCAAGTTATACCACAAATACACCACAAAATACAACACAACCTCAAGTTATACCACAAATACACAACAGCCTAAAGTTATACCACAAATACACCACAAAATAGCCTAAAGTTATACCACAAATACACCACAAAATACAACACAACCTCAAGCTATACCACAAAAATACCACAAAATACAACACAACCTCAAGTTATACCACAAATATACCACAAAATACAACACAACCTCAAGTTATACCACAAATACACCACAAAATACAACACAACCTCAAGTTATACCACAAATATACCACAAAATACAACACAGCCTAAAGTTATACCACAAATACACCACAAAATACAACACAACCTCAAGTTATACCACAAATACACCACAAAATACAACACAACCTCAAGTTATACCACAAATACACCACAAAATACAACACAGCGTAAAGTTATACCACAAATACACCACAAAATACAACACAACTAAAGGTTATACCACAAATACACCACAAAATACAATACAACCTAAAGTTATACCACAAATACACCACAAAATACAACACAACCTCAAGTTATACCACAAATACACCACTAAATTCAACACAACCTTAAGTTATACCATAAATACACCACAAAATAAAACACAACTAAACGTTATACCACAAATACAAAATACAACACGGGACACATTTTACAATAGAGAGATATTATACCTGTAATCAGTATACCTCTCAATCATAATGGGCAATTAACGGTTGGTATAACGAATAAGTAATTAGACATTAGAAATAAATAAACTTCACAGCACCAATATGTCTACTGAAAGCAATGTTTATGAAATGGGTCCAATAAAACATGTGTTTATTCTTTATCAATACTGTATTGCTTAACTATGGAAAAAAAGTAAAGAAAACCCAGATAAATGTAGTAGATAAATGTAGTAGGTAAATGTAGTATGTTATGGTCAGTGGCCATGGTAAACCAATACAATATCATTTTCTTTATTTTTAGCTTAATATATACCTCATTTTCGTAAATACTGAAAGCATTTGGCGCCTTGGTACAACATCAGAAAAATCGTACTACAACGATAAGTGATTTGTACACTTTTAGATCTCAGCCCGGATTAATATGTGCCGAGTCATCAGTTATGTGTGATAAACAGACCTTCCCTCAGAAACGCACGTAGTATAAAAAAAATCTAAATCCAAAATAATGATAAGAAGAAAATATGTCAAGTTAAGGCAAGTTTAAATAAAGAATTCAATTTGCTATCAGAAAACAGATCAGAAATATGTCCCGTGATCAAAGAATATTACACAGTCTTTTACACTTCTTGGCCAAGCATTCTTGAATACTTAATTTACATGGATTCTCAGTAATACTGCAGTCTATATAATATCAGTGATATTTTGTCTCCAACCGTTTATACACCAGTGTGTACTTCAGAGTATATGACTGTGTCCGCCTCTGGTGTTGGTTTGGGTCTGACAGGGGGGCGTGACTGTGGACGTGAAGTCTCTAACTCCGCGTACACAAGTCCGTCCTGGTTTTTACACCGAGAGGGTTGGTCAACCTCGTTTGTTTGTAATTCATCTTTTACAATGTTTTTCTGTTTCTCAGACTTGTTAACCACGGCATACACATCTCCAGAGGGAGATTTCATCGTCTCCTGTGTTGTGCTGTTTGAATGCTCCGCCTCAGAACATTTATGTTTTGTTTGGACCTGCGCATACAAATCTCCACTTTTCGTGACAATATGGCTTGTGTTTGCTTCATGCGGTTCACCCGACAAGTGGTCAGAGTTTTCAGGTAGTGTTTCGAAACCGTCGTTGTGATAAAACTTCGGTGTTGCGACAGCGTAAGGTTGGATATCAACGGACAAATTTCCGTCGGCTTCCTTCGCCACTGAACGTTTTTTCCTAGTGGGGAAGAAGAGAACAATAGTTAGATTTTAGTCAAACATACCTAGCATTCATCGCCATAATATATGATTATGTTTGTAGGAAATTAAATCATTTGAAATATATTCATTAACAAGTATAAAAAATAGCCAGGCTACAGATATGTGTAAAATGCTACTGTACGGATTATCATTTGCATGCTGCATGGCTACAAGTCTTTCTAAAACACTATAACTATGACGATGATAATGACGATAACAACCTACCTGACTATAACTATGACGATGATAATGACGATAACAACCTACCTGACTATAACTATGACGATGATAATGACGATAACAACCTACCTGACTATAACTATGACGATGATAATGACGATAACAACCTACCTGACTATAACTATGACGATGATAATGACGATGACAACCTACCTGACTATAACTATGATGATAATATGACGATGACAACCTACCTGACTATAACTATGACGATGACAACCTACCTGACTATAACTATGACGATGATAATGACGATGACTACCTACCTGACTATAACTATGACGATGACAACCTATCTGACTATAACTATGACGATGATAATGACGATGACTACCTACCTGACTATAACTATGATGATGATAATGACGATGACTACCTACCTGACTATAACTATGATGATGATAATGACGATGACTACCTACCTGACTATAACTATGATGATGATAATGACGATGACTACCTACCTGACTATAACTATGACGATGATAATGACGATAACAACCTACCTGACTATAAATATGATGATGATAATGACGATGACTACCTACCTGACTATAACTATGACGATGACAATGACGATAACAACCTACCTAACTATAACTATGACGATGATAATGACGATGACTACCTACCTAACTATAACTATGACGATGATGATGATAATGATGATGAGGAAAGATACACCACCACCAGCCGCCCCGGCAATAACATCAACTGAAACATTGAAAATCAAACTGTGGTTGCCCTCCTGACATAGTAAGTACCGAATTATGAAAAGACACAAACGTACGTCCATATTTTTCGAAAGTTGATGACCTTTCTTGGCAATAATTAATTTGGTATATTTGTATCAAGGCCTTGGTAGCACTGTATATTGTACTGACAATGTATTTGATATTTACGTAGAAGCCAAACGTATGTTACTTGAAAAAAATGTCGTTTAATGATAAGAAAAACGTATTTTCCGATCGACTCCTCTATGACTGGATATGATTTGAGTTGTTTCTTACGTCCTGGTGTCATGTCATTTAGAATGTCGTCTCCGCCGTTATCATCACCTCCGCCACCACTGCCTGTGCGATTTGTAGCTACCTCGGTAGTTGTCGACGCCGTCGCTGTGGTCGTTGTCGTCGTCGTCGTCGCTGTAGTTGTTGTCGTCGGCGTCGTCGTCGCTGTAGTTGTTGTCGTCGTTGTCGTCACAGAGCCAGAGAAGGATGACATACCTTCTCCGTTTTCGCATGTTACATTAACATCTACAAAGATAAATGTTTGTTATATTTTTTCATAAAGAATGATAAAAGGGGAAACTATTTACAACACAACTTTCTACTAAGCTTTCATACAAAGAAGCATTGAAATAGGATATATATTTTTAACACAGAAATAAGTTTCATTTGGTACTTCATATCGTTGTTGTAGTAAACACTAATCTATAGATACCTGACTGAATGAAAATACAGTGCCCAGATTGCCACTGGATGCTGGAGTTTGATCTGGATAATGTTATTTTCAAAATGTCGTTGTTGGTAAAACCATCGATGACATTGCCGGTAATCTGCTGGCATCCGTATACAGTACTCGCATTAGTAGATTGTCTGGTAAACCTAAGTATACTTCCACATATAGGCGCCGGTGCTGTTCCAGGATAAGCATCGATTTGAAGGTCGAAAGAGCCTGCATTGGCCTGTCTAACGTCACACTGACAGCTGTCATAGGCTAACACTCCTGTATTGCACGTGTCTACCACAACACGTCCAGCAGTCATCGTCCCGCTATTACACATCGACAACACTGTACAAGACAAAAGTTTGCAAGTGAGTTCCGAACATATTGAAATAATGTCCTGTCAGATGTGATGATTTAAGATGACCTCTTTGCTTCTGATACCTTAATATGTACGAGCTAGAGACCAGAGACAGTCTTAGCGATAAGAAAAAAAAATATTTTAAAAACTGTCTATGAAAGTGGAAGCAAGTAACACGAGATCTAGAGAGAAACCCAATAAACAGGTTCTGCTATGGTGGTTCTGTTGTCAAAAATTGGACCGTTTTCGTATCTCTGATTTTTTATAATTTGTTTGTCATAAGTAAATGAAATATTCAGCACGTGATAATTTATGACTGTGAAATACATCAAATGTTTTTTAAAAATATTACAATTTTCATATCCGGAATGCCAAATAAGACACCTGAATCAATAAAAAAAATCTACTGTAGTCAGGATAGAGAGTTAAACGTCACCTACCGTTTGTAAAGTCGTCTAAGTCAGCTGTATCTGTACATGTAGTGGAGCCGATACCTGCAAACACAGGACAGTAACTTCAAGGCAATATTTTTTAAAAAGTCTTGATAATTATATGCATTAGGAGTGATTATTGAATTAAAACATTGGACATCAACATTCCGTTCAACTGAGATCTACTGAAGAAAATATTTTATAAAGTGACAGTTAAACATTTATGTTTACGTTATGTCTATGTAAATGTCTGGATGTCTGCCATAAGTTAACTCAATGTCACCTTCTGGCCTCTTCCTGTTTACGTTAGGTTTTTTGATATTCGTTCAGATTTGCCGTCCATAAAATATACAATTACAATAACTCAGAATTCTGAAGTCACAACATACTACTTCCTGATTGTTGACAATACCTACCTTGAGGACAGGACAACAACAGTATCAGTCGACATAGATCAACGTACGATAATTCTATCCTCCGAATTGCCATGACACTGCTAGACGGATTTGAAATACTAGTAGATATATGTCTTATCCTGACAGAATGGGCTGTTTACATGGCTTCAGATGATATGTGTTGAACTTTGCTCACAAACTAGAAACACACTGTATTGTAAGATGATGTCTAAATATAGAATTCATAACTGGTTTTCTACTGGTATTTAAAACCTGAATATATAATCTGTATTATTGAATTGGAGCGAGACGACACGAAACTGTTGCTTCAAGGGAGGTAACCCATACACGCTAGCCCGGTAAGGTAGCAGTAAACAGTTAATTTACATTTTTCCTGAAATTATTTGTCATGTTTGAGATATACAGGTATAGCAGATTGGTTATGAAAAATACATCATTACATGTATATATATTTATAAACTGTATAACAATTACATTAACAGTAGAGAGTGTGTAAATTTGTGTATATTTCACTGACATTTGATTGTCATGGTTCTTGAAAAAATGCTAAAAATGCAAAAATACTGCTAATTCCAATCCAACACTACAACTTTCTAGGAGAAATTTAATTCTAATCACCTATATACAAAAAACAACACTGTCGTGATAACAAAGTACTTACTAAAAGTTGATAACGTGGAAATTCTTTAGTGTATTTGTTGAAGAGAGTGTGATAACGTATGAAAATTTCAGTGTATTTGTTGTAAGAGAGTGTGTTAACTCCAATGGTATCTTTAGTGTATTTGTTGTAAAAGTGTGTTAACACATTGTACTTTAGTGTATTTGTTGTAAGAGAGTGTGTTAACGTGTTGTATCTTTAGTGTATTTGTTAATTAAAAGTGTGTTAACGTATGGTATCTTTAGTGTATTTGTTGTAAGAGAGTGTGATAACGTGTTGTATCTTTAGTGTATTTGTTGTAAGCAAGAGTGTGTTAACTGTGTGTAGCCCTTATAGTGTATCTTTAGTGTATTTGTTGTAAGAGAGTGTGATAACGTGTTGTATCTTTAGTGTATTTGTTGTAAGAAAGTGTGTTAACGTATGGTATCTTTAGTGTATTTGTTGTAAGAGAGTGTGATAACGTGTTGTATCTTTAGTGTATTTGTTGTAAGAGAGTGTGGTATCTTTAGTGTATTTGTTGTAAGAGAGTGTGGTATCTTTAGTGTATAACGTATGGTATCTTTAGTGTATTTGTTGTAAAGAGTGTGATAACGTGTTGTATCTTTAGTGTATTTGTTGTAAGAGAGTGTGGTATCTTTAGTGTATTTGTTGTAAGAGAGTGTGATAACGTGTTGTATCTTTAGTGTATTTGTTGTAAGAGAGTGTGGTATCTTTAGTGTATTTGTTGTAAGAGAGTGTGATAACGTGTTGTATCTTTAGTGTATTTGTTGTAAGAGAGTGTGATAACGTGTTGTATCTTTAGTGTATTTGTTGTAAGAGAGTGTGATAACGTGTTGTATCTTTAGTGTATTTGTTGTAAGAGAGTGTGATAACGTGTTGTATCTTTAGTGTATTTGTTGTAAGAGAGTGTGATAACGTGTTGTATCTTTAGTGTATTTGTTGTAAGAGAGTGTGTTAACGTATGGTATCTTTAGTGTATTTGTTGTAAGAGAGTGTGATAATGTGTTGTGTCTTTAGTGTATTTGTTGTAAGAAAGTGTGTTAACGTATGGTATCTTTAGTGTATTTTTAGTGTATTTGTTGTAAGAGAGTGTGATAACGTGTTGTATCTTTAGTGTATTTGTTGTAAGAAAGTGTGTTAACGTATGGTATCTTTAGTGTATTTTTAGTGTATTTGTTGTAAGAGAGTGTGTTAACGTGTTGTATCTTTAGTGTATTTGTTGTAAGAGAGTGTGTTAACGTATGGTATCTTTAGTGTATTTTTAGTGTATTTGTTGTAAGAGAGTGTGTTAACGTGTTGTATCTTTAGTGTATTTGTTGTAAGAAAGTGTGTTAACGTATGGTATCTTTAGTGTATTTGTTGTAAGAGAGTGTGATAACGTGTTGTATCTTTAGTGTATTTGTTGTAAGAGAGTGTGATAACGTGTTGTATCTTTAGTGTATTTGTTGTAAGAGAGTGTGATAACGTGTTGTATCTTTAGTGTATTTGTTGTAAGAGAGTGTGTTAACGTATGGTATCTTTAGTGTATTTGTTGTAAGAGAGTGTGATAACGTGTTGTATCTTTAGTGTATTTGTTGTAAAGAGAGTGTGGTATCTTTAGTGTATTTGTTGTAAGAGAGTGTGATAACGTGTTGTATCTTTAGTGTATTTGTTGTAAGAGAGTGTGTTAACGTGGTATCTTTAGTGTATTTGTTGTAAGAGAGTGTGTAACGTGTTGTATCTTTAGTGTATTTGTTGTTAGTTAGTGTGTTATCGTTTTGTATCTTTAGTGTATTTGTTGTAAGAGAGTGTGATAACGTGTTGTATCTTTAGTGTATTTGTTGTAAGAGAGTGTGTTAACGTATGGTATCTTTAGTGTATTTGTTGTAAGAGAGTGTGATAACGTGTTGTATCTTTAGTGTATTTGTTGTAAGAAAGTGTGTTAACGTATGGTATCTTTAGTGTATTTTTAGTGTATTTGTTGTAAGAGAGTGTGTTAACGTGTTGTATCTTTAGTGTATTTGTTGTAAGAGAGTGTGGTATCTTTAGTGTATTTTTAGTGTATTTGTTGTAAGAGAGTGTGATAACGTGTTGTATCTTTAGTGTATTTGTTGTAAGAGAGTGTGTTAACGTATGGTATCTTTAGTGTATTTGTTGTAAGAGAGTGTGTTAACGTGTTGTATCTTTAGTGTATTTGTTGTAAGAAAGTGTGTTAACGTATGGTATCTTTAGTGTATTTGTTGTAAGAGAGTGTGATAACGTGTGGTATCTTTAGTGTATTTGTTGTAAGAGAGTGTGATAACGTATGGTATCTTTAGTGTATTTGTTGTAAGAGATGGTATCTTTAGTGTATTTGTTGTAAGAGAGTGTGATAACGTGTTGTATCTTTAGTGTATTTGTTTAAGAAAGTGTGTTGTATCTTTAGTGTATTTGTTGTAAGAGAGTGTGTTAACGTGTTGTATCTTTAGTGTATTTGTTGTAAGAGAGTGTGATAACGTGTTGTATCTTTAGTGTATTTGTTGTAAGAGAGTGTGATAACGTGTTGTATCTTTAGTGTATTTGTTGTAAGAAAGTGTGTTAACGTATGGTATCTTTAGTGTATTTTTAGTGTATTTGTTGTAAGAGAGTGTGTTAACGTGTTGTATCTTTAGTGTATTTGTTGTAAGAGAGTGTGATAACGTGTTGTATCTTTAGTGTATTTGTTGTAAGAGAGTGTGATAACGTGTTGTATCTTTAGTGTATTTGTTGTAAGAGAGTGTGTTAACGTATGTATCTTTAGTGTATTTTTAGTGTATTTGTTGTAAGAGAGTGTGTTAACGTGTTGTATCTTTAGTGTATTTGTTGTAAGAGAGTGTGTAACGTGGTATCTTTAGTGTATTTGTTGTAAGAGAGTGTGATAACGTGTTGTATCTTTAGTGTATTTGTTGTAAGAAAGTGTGTTAACGTATTGTATCTTTAGTGTATTTGTTGTAAGAGAGTGTGTTAACGTGTTGTATCTTTAGTGTATTTGTTGTAAGAGAGTGTGTTAACGTGTTGTATCTTTAGTGTATTTGTTGTAAGAGAGTGTGTTAACGTGTTGTATCTTTAGTGTATTTGTTGTAAGAGAGTGTGTATTTGTTGTAAGAGAGTGTGATAACGTGTTGTATCTTTAGTGTATTTGTTGTAAGAGAGTGTGGTATCTTTAGTGTATTTGTTGTAAGAGAGTGTGGTATCTTTAGTGTATTTGTTTGTTGTAAGAGTAGTTGTAAGTATCTTTAGTGTAGTGTGTATTTGTTGTAACGTGTTGTATCTTTAGTGTATTTGTTGTAAGAGAGTGTGATAACGTGTTGTATCTTTAGTGTATTTGTTGTAAGAGAGTGTGATAACGTATGGTATCTTTAGTGTATTTGTTGTAAGAGAGTGTGGTATCTTTAGTGTATTTGTTGTAAGAGAGTGTGATAACGTGTTGTATCTTTAGTGTATTTGTTGTAAGAGAGTGTGATAACGTGTTGTATCTTTAGTGTATTTGTTGTAAGAGAGTGTGTTAACGTGTTGTATTTTTAGTGTATTTGTTGTAAGAGAGTGTGATAACGTGTTGTATCTTTAGTGTATTTGTTGTAAGAGAGTGTTGTATCTTTAGTGTATTTGTTGTAAGAGAGTGTGATAACGTGTTGTATCTTTAGTGTATTTGTTGTAAGAGAGTGTGTTAACGTATGGTATCTTTAGTGTATTTTTAGTGTATTTGTTGTAAGAGAGTGTGTTAACGTGTTGTATCTTTAGTGTATTTGTTGTAAGAGAGTGTGGTAACGTGTTGTATCTTTAGTGTATTTGTTGTAAGAGAGTGTGGTAACGTGTTGTATCTTTAGTGTATTTGTTGTAAGAGAGTGTGTTAACGAATGGTATCTTTAGTGTATTTTTGTAAAAGAGTGTGTATTTCTTTAGTGTATTTGTTGTAAGAGAGTGTGTTAACGTGTTGTATCTTTAGTGTATTTGTTGTAAGAGAGGTATCTTTAGTTGTAAGAAGTGTGGTATCTTTAGTGTATTTGTTGTAAGAGAGTGTGATAACGTGTTGTATCTTGTATTTGTGTATTTGTTGTATCTTTAAGAGAGTGTGATAACGTGTTGTATCTTTAGTGTATTTGTTGTAAGAGAGTGTGATAACGTATGGTATCTTTAGTGTATTTGTTGTAAGAGAGTGTTATAACGTGTGGTATCTTTAGTGTATTTGTTGTAAAACAGTGTGGTATCTTTAGTGTATTTGTTGTAAGAGAGTGTGTTAACGTGTTGTATCTTTAGTGTATTTGTTGTAAGAGAGTGTGGTATCTTTAGTGTATTTGTTGTAAGAGAGTGTGGTATCTTTAGTGTATTTGTTGTAAAACAGTGTGGTATCTTTAGTGTATTTGTTGTAAGAAAGTGTGTTAACGTATGGTATCTTTAGTGTATTTGTTGTAAGAAAG